AACTCTCCTACCTCCCACTTGCTCCTCTTGCTTCCTCCCCTCCTGCTCCTCCTCCTCCACCTCCTCCCCCTCCTCCTCTTCCTCCCCCTTCTTCCCTTCGTTCCCCTCCTCATCCTCCTCCTCCGCACCTGTCCCAATTCCTTTCACCACCACCACCACCCCCTCCTCCTCTCCCTCTTCCACTACTGCTTTTACCACCAGCAATCCCTCTCCCTCCTCCCCCACTGCCTTCACCACTAGTAATTCCTCAACCTCCTCTCCCTCCTCCTTTCCCTTCTTTCCCTCCTCCCCATCCTTTTTCTCCGCTTCCCCCTCCTTGCTCCCCTCCTCTTCCTCCCCTCGGTTCTTTGGGAGCTTCAGTCCAAATCTCTTTTCAAAATCCACATCCTTGCATCCAAACATGTACCCAAGCCCGTACTTCTCCGCCTTACCCGCTTCCAGCAGCAGCTTATAACGAGGACGGAGCCTCTTCTCCACGCTCCGCGTCAGCAGCGCCGGCCACATCGCCACGTCAGCAAGCCCCCGCCCCATGTCCTCCACAACGAATCGAATTTTCGATTCTAGGGTTTCCCACGTAAACGCAATAACCAGCGGCATCTGATTCATCATCCGAACCGCGGTTTCCCGCCCAAAAAGGTTTATCAAATTCGTTAGAGTCACAACCATGCTGTCCCAATTCTGCCCCAGCAGCAGCGGCTGGCGCATCAGGAATCGGCGCGCTTGCTCCTCACCAAAATACTCCACCATCCCCTTATAAGTCGCTTCCGTCGTTTCGTGCTTCACTAAAAGCAGCTGCGGGTATCGCCGCAAGTAGTACAGCATATCCCCGTTTTTATCCCCCAGGATCGACTGGATCAGCAAAACCTTCCGCTGGATCTCCGACGCTCTACCCCCCAAAACAAACGGGGAAGTTTCGAGAATATCCGCTACTGGGGACAACCCTGCAAGCTCCAGCTGCCGAACCTTCTCCTGTAGGGTCGGTACGGTCAGGTTCAAAACAAACGGGAAACTCTGAACGACCTTGTCTATTCTCTTAACGCCTAAATCGTACCGCAGATAGTGCAAAGCCGCTGCGAGAGTCTCTTCCGAGACGGAAAACACGCAAGCGCGAGTCGCGGCGCGTAGAAGACTAATCGGCGAGATGCCGTACTCCTTAAATAAGGCCGTCTTCTGGCTGGTGAGGGAGTTGAAGTCCGTTTGGAAGAGCGACGGATTCCGGTGGAAAATAGTCAGAAGCTGTTTATCCGAGAGCGCGCCGTTAGAGAGGTGGCTGAGAATTAAGAGGTTCTGACTCGCTATAGAACCAATGCTGGCGTGGCGCCTGGGGTATTTGAGCGATAACTCGTGCATGACGCGTCTAAACCTGGCGGCTTCAGCGGGAGGGAACGAGTCAAGCTCTGCTATTACCGCGTCGTACTGTGTCGCGTACGGCCCATCCGTCCCCCCTTCGTCTCCGCCATTCAGCCTCTGCTCCCCCTCTTCCCCCTGTTCCCCTTCCCCCCTATGCCTTCCCTGTTCCCCCACGTCCTCATGCCGCTTCCGCCCGCAACTGCTGTTGCTGCTGCCAATGTTGTCACTGCCGTTCCTGCTGCCGTCGTCAATGGGCGTTGCATCCACGTCAGCAACTCGCGTGGCAAAAAGCGAATGCTTACGCGGATGCTTCGTCGCTCCGCCTCTGCTGCGCGCCGCGAGACTCTGAGAGCGCGCAGAACTCACCGCTTTCCGCGGAACCGGCAAATGCGGGGGCGCACGAGCTGAATGGCACGCGCCATCGTCCCCGTACGCGCAGATCGCGCCAGTCGGAGGCGCTGGTGCGGAGATCCGGGGGCTGGCGCGGAGGAGCATCTCCGCGCGCGACTTTTTGAATCGACTTTAAAGTCGCGATAGCGGATGGACCGTGCACGAAGTTCTTCCCAATTCCGCTACTGCAAACGAATAGTCCCTTGCTGATTCGATGTTATTCGAGGCACCAGTTATGGGGGCGGGAAGGGCGCTACGTTTGACTCTAGGATATGAGCAAGGGTGCTAACTGGGGGTTTTTAGAAGTTGGATCGGGACTTGGGAGCAGGCTCGGGGAATTATGAACGAGGTTTTAGAAAAAAGGGGCTCAAATTCGAAGGGGGGGGAGTGAAATTGGCGGCGAACAAGGGTTCCGTTATGCGAAATCGGTCGAAATATGCTGTACGCTGAAAGAACGAGCGAAACACACAACCTATATGCAAAAATAGGAAATTTGTACAGAAGATAGACTTACATACGGAAATTCAACTTAGACATCAGCCTACTCTTACAGCTGCCTTCATCCCCTTTTCACAATCTTGCCCTGTTAGAGATGCAAAGTACAGGCTGTACTTTTTTCTGCTCTGTGTAGGGACTACAAACTTGTACACCCCGTAAAATCTTGGGCTTAGAAGTTGCAGCGCTTGAGACCGATCACAATTATCATATGCAGCTTTGCTTTCAAGCCATTGTAGGTCATGCTGGCCAAGCCAACGGAACACTGGGAGTGGAAGACAAGGAGAGGGGGAAATACGGACCAATTAATATACAGGATGCAATATCTTTGTCTAAGAAGAATGAGCCCTTCTTGCTATGCTCCTAACATCGAGCTACAACAATCATTTAGCACATGCCTAGGCTGCTAAAAGGGAGCTACAACGCCTAATCAAGCAATACATGCCAGCTCACCAAGTATATCTCCTGGTTTGACGGGACGGCCCTGCCACTTTTGAGCGCCATACGTCCAGCCAAAGAACTTCTTCAGACCAAGACGAACCATGCGAGCCTGGACAACACAAAAGAGGCGAACATAGTGGGTGATAGGGTTGGAAAGAAATAAGAAAGTGAGTTGGAGTCAAATCTTGACATAAATGTACAGTCAGCAGGGCATACGAGTACAGACAGCAGAGCATACGAGTACAGACAGCAGAGCATACTAGAGTAGACTCAACAACGGACAATTTGGAAAACAGAGGGGGACCGAATTTACCTGACAGCAAGACGCGCCTGTTGCAGAGTTCCACCCCAGAAAAAAGAGGTCGTCACGTGATCGAATGAGGTGAGAGTGCATGTGGGAGTGGGAGGAGAAGGGACAGCCGAAGGAGAAAGTCACATCACGTCTTCACGGCAGGAAATGTGGTGGGGAGAGTGGGCGACGCGAGTTAGTGAGGACAATAAGCAGAGTGGGGGGAATGCACGTCACATATCACAGGGTTCTCCCTTGTACCTATAACCGGTTTTCCTCGGTCTGGTTCGTGACCTAAGCGGTTTGTGGTCGCGACTTATATGAAAATCTTACGAAATACGCGTTAACTGATGGTACTGCACTTATCCGTACTGTGACCTGCATGACGCGGCATTGAAACGATGGCTCAAGGCGACTACAGGCTGCGAAGTTCGTGCAAGTTGATTAAAAGCCCTAGCAGCAGCGAAGGTACACGGTAACCAGGGTATGGAGCTGTTGCGAATGCAGCTGACGATACTTACTGCTACTATTCCTGTTTCGAAGGTACCGAATCACCGTATCACTACCGTAAGGGTGGGGGTAAAATGCCTCTTAGTAAACTGTGACTACTCGAGTTTGGCGATTTAGAACTGCTACAAAACGAAGCACGCACCTGAAAGCGCGAGGAGCGAGAGAAGCAGAAGCGCCCACGCCCTGGCATTCGCAGTGGAACACAACCGAAGCGCCATTACCGCCGGTGCGACAAATCACTTCGGCGGAATCAGCTGCTAGCACAGTCGGCGTCGCTCTAGGTCAAAACGGACGGACCGGACGGACCACGCTGACCAATAGTGGGACGCCGCCCCTTCTACGACGCGGGCTGAGGGAGGACCAGAGTCAAGATATAAACTCGCGAAGGCTCGTTCGACAATCAACAGTGCCTAGTGATTCCCAGACTCGAGGTGTTAAACTCTGAGGTAACCAAACAAGTTCTGGAGCCTTCCGCTTGGGACGGAGGAACGAAGGGCTGTAGGGGGGAAAGGCAGCAGACAGGGGGGCAGATGAGGAAACACGGGACGGATGCGTGGCGTGGGTTGTGTGCTGTGTGTGGGTGACTGGATAGAGGGGGGTGATGGTGTGGTAACGACGGTAAAGACCATCCGAAGAAAGCAGCAAGAACCACGACAAGCGAGAGATGGAAGTAATGAATTTGCGCAACGGCTGAAACTTGAGCGAAAGGCTACCGAGATTCGCAAATCTTTCGTATTGAGGAATCAGTCCAACCTGCATCCTGTCGCGAACGGATGTGCATTGCATTTCTTGTCAATTTGATAAATATTGAGAGGTGGCGATTCGGTTTGGCCGCGAAGAGCTGAAGATATTCCCGCGTTTCATGTGATGGAGTGTGCAGTTGGAAAGTGCGTTAAAGCCCAAGACATGAATTACAAAAAAAGGAAGGCAAACTGTGCACAGTTTGCCTTCCGAGCCCAAAGTTGACTTCCCGAGCCTCTCTGGTTACCAAATGACGCCCCGCAAAACTGCAGAGTCGTAAGCCCAAAATTGGTTGGCGAGAGTCCCAACCGCTCCCTCCTGAAGGGAGAAGGGCAAGGCAAGCTGTGTACAGATTGGAAATTGTTGTAATTCAGGTCATGCTCGACCACATAGTAGTCACGTGAAACTCCTAGGTAGAGCAGAAAGCCAATAGAGTTGGAGCCCAATCCACCGGAAAAAAAAAAAAAAAAAAAAAAAAAAAAAAAAAAAAAAAACACCAAACAGATTCTATGCGATGGCGCCGCTTTTTACTCAGCGTCGTCGTCGAAACCCTGCGCGACCGCGCAAACGACAGTTTGCGGCGCATGCATCTCCTCTCCGAGCTCGATAATAGGTAATCAAACGGTCGATCGCGGTCATTTCCCGCGCATTCGCCCTATGTTTGCCTCAGCTACATTCCCCTCCCGCGCTTCCTAGTCGACGTCACACCCTGCCACCCACGCTTCCCCTCGTCGTCGTCGCCGTCCCCCACGCTTCCCCCCACCGTCGCCCTCGCTTCCTCCAGCTGTCGCTCACACTTTACTCCGTCGTTGACCACGCTCCCCCTCCCGTCGCTTTCGCTTCCTCCCACCGTCGCCCTCGCTTCCTCCCACCGTCGCCCTTGCTTCCTCCCACCGTCGCCTTCGCTTCCTCCAACCGTCGCTTTCGCTTCCTCCCACCGCCGCCCTCGCTTCCTCCCACCGTCGCCCTCGCTTCCTCCCACCGTCGCCCTCGCTTCCTCCCACCGTCGCCCTCGCTTCCTCCCACCGTCGCCCTCGCTTCCTCCCACCGTCGCCCTCGCTTCCTCCCACCGTCGCCCTCGCTTCCTCCCACCGTCGCCCTCGCTTCCTCCCACCGTCGCCCTCGCTTCCTCCCACCGTCGCCCTCGCTTCCTCCCACCGTCGCCCTCGCTTCCTCCCACCCTCCCCTACACTCCGCCGTCGTCATCACTTCCCTGCCTATCACGTTCACCCTCTTCGTCACACGTCGCCTCTCTCTCTCCCCCTATTCTACCTTCACCACTCCTACCGTCGTCCATGGTTACCACCCCACACTTGAACCCTTCTCATTCTCTCACATTCTCCCTTCTCCCTTGCTTCTCGCCCACACTAAACGCAGAGATGTATGGCGCCTGGGCGCTGGGTATGGGGTCGTGAATTGTTCGCTGTGGGGTGTGTGAGGGTGCGTGGTGCGAAGGCTAGGGGAGAATGAAAGCTGATGGGGTGCGGGTCGAGGAGCACGCACCCTGCCCCTCACGCTGTGTCACTCACAACCCAATGGCAGCACAGCAAGCTTAGCAACCTCCTCCTCACTCTCGCACCAACCCCGCACACAGCCGGGGAAGCTCGTGCAGGCGGGCAGTGAGGAGCGCTGTGCACAAGGGGGCGAGGGGGTGGGGCAAGGGAGCGGGGGAGGCGTGGCAGGGGAGTGAGGGAGGGAGGAGTGGGGGAGGCGGGGCAGGGGAGTTGGGGAGGGGGGCAGGGGAGTGGGGGAGGGGGGGCAGGAAGCCGTCCCGTCTTCCTCCTCTTCCTCTTATTTGCCTCCTCCTCCCACCCACTCTTTCTTTCATCCTCCTGCCTCTCTTCCACCCTGCCACTCTTCTTTTCAGACTGCCACCTTCCGAGCTTCTTTTAGTCCACCTTTCCGTCTCACCCACTTGTCCTCTCCCAACTTGATCCTCACATCCTCCCATCCCCCCTTCTCCCCTTCCACCCTCCAACCCTTGCGCTCATCCTCCCTTCATCTCACCCTCCTTTTTTCTCATCCTCCCATCCTCCCTCTCTTCCCTCCCCCCTCCCTTCCTCCTGTCCTCCCTTCCTCCCTTCCTTTCTTCCTCTCTTCCACCCTCTGCCCTACTCTCTGCTTCAGTGTCTTTCTCCCCTCTCTTTCCCCTTTCCTCCCTCCCTTCATCTCATCCTCTCTTCCGCCCTTCCTCCTTGTCTCCCTTGCTCATTTCTCCCTCCTCATATTCCCTGTTCCCTGCGTCCCTCGCTGCCATCCTCCCTTCCTCTCAGCCTCCTCACTTCCTCTCGTCAACCATTCCTCCGCACCCTTCTACCCTGCCACGCCTATACACTCCTACCTTGTTCTAGGGGCTTGTTTCTTGTTGCCTGCCTGCCCTTGCATTGTCATTGTTTTGTATCCTTCCCCGCTGCTTCGACTCTTGGCACATTAGATTTTGTGGTTCGTGTTTGTGCAGGTCTGCCATGTATCTACGTAGCTATGATGCCTTCACTCTTTGATGATAGTGGTATGACAAATAGCCATGCCATGTATGTTGGATGCTTCTCATGATACAACACTTTGGGCCTCGGAGCAGCCATGTACGTGAGCACGACAATGAAATGCAACAAAGCAAGAGATTTTCTTCCTTACAGTTGTCGCCAGTGGACTACAGGCACAATGCACAAATCTGGAAGGTGGTAACTTTCCATCCCACTCCTGTTGGGACCCATGGTGCTGGGCACCTGTACAAGCATGGTTCTGTGATAGAACGGGGAGGGAAGAGTGGGTATGGCGAATAAGCAAGGGCTGGAGGTTGGAGGTACAGAAGGGCATGTATAGCTGTGGAGCGAAAGGCAGTGCGGATGGTGGTGGTGCTGCTGCTGCTCGGGCTGTTGCTGTTGCTCTAGGAGTTACAACTGCTGCTACTTCTGTTGCGCCAGCTGCGCGCCTTTCTCCCTCCCCCTCCTCCTCCTCCTCCTGCTGCCGTGTCAAGAGCGGCTCCCTCAGCACGTCCCCAGCACCGCCAGCACTCGCAGATGCGGGCACATGGGGTCCCTTGCGCGCCGAGCCAGAGGAGGCACCTTGCGCAGAGGGGCGTCACGAGGAGCAGCGCTGTGACGCTGGTGCCAGGGAGGCTGCCAGACCCACCGGGCTGCGCAGGGCGGACGCACCAGCAGCACCAGCAGCAGCACTGCCTCCGGCACCTGTGCCTGCAGCTGGAGAAACGGGAGCAGCGGCGGCAGCAGGAGCAGCAGGCGCAGCAGTGAGAGTGAGTGCAGGAGGCGGGGGCGAGGCGCCAATGGTGAAGGCAGGAGAGGGCGGGGAGAAGGTGGATTGAGAGAACACCAGCCTGGCCCTTGCAGGCGCCAGCGCGACCGCCGAGTCAGAGGAGGGGGGGATAGAGCCGGGCGGAGGGTTACCCTCCCGTGCTGCTGGAAATCCCCCCCTGCTGCTGACCGCCCATGGGGCTGCTGCTGCCCCCCATGCCTTGCACTGCAAGGAACGCACCCGACGACGCACCACCGGCGCCCATGCTGCTGCTCCCCTCCGTCGCCCAGTACGCTCCCGAGGCACCCTCCATCGCACCACCGCCACCCGTGCCCATGCCCACGAGCAAGGGCATGGCTAGCGCGCCTCCCACTCCCCCTCCCCCTCCCCCTCCGCCTCCTCCTCCGCCTCTCAGCGAGGGAGCTGACGCGGCTGATGTCTGACAGCAGAGAGTCGTAGCTCTCACTCCGCTCCAACACTCCCCGCCCCCCCCCCGCGTGCCCTCCCTCTCCCCCTCCCTCCCCCGCCTGTCCCCCCCCAGACGCGCCTCGTCCTCGGGGAAGCTGCCCAGCATCACTGCCCGCTCCTCCCTCCCCAAGCTCCGTGCGGGGGAAGCGAAGGCTCCGCGCGGGGAAGCGAAGGCTCCGCGCGGGGGAAGCGAAGGCTCCGTGCGGGGGAAGCGAAGGCTCCGCGCAGGGGAAGCGAAGGCTCCGCGCGGGGGAAGCGAAGGCTCCGCGCGGGGGAAGCGAAGGCGACGCGCGGGGAAATCGAAGGCGACGGGGGGGAGAAGCGAAGGCGACGGGCGGGATAAGAGAAGGCAACGGTCATCCGAAAGCGAAGGCGGCGACGGGCGGGGGAAGCGAAGGCGACGGGATGGGGCCGCGAATGCGATGGGCTGCGGAAGCGAAGGCGACGACGCGGGCGATGGACAGAGGAAGCGTGGGACCCGGGTGAAGGAAAGCGAGGGCGAGGGATGGTTACGCTTGGCCGAACGTGAGGGTTATGCGAAACCTGCATTTTTACACCATATCTCATCGCACGCCGCTCAATATCCTTACGCTTCGAACTCACATTCCGCACCACACACCATCGCATCGCGCCTTGATCGCTCTAGAGTCAACGGCTACGCCCTGCCTACACGTATTCTATATTATGCCTAGTTTTAGTCTGCTGCTAGGATTGTCAAAGTGTGCACAGTTTGGTAGGCACGCTCAACTCTGGTTGTGGGAAGCACGCCATTCATCGCAGGTCTTCTTCCAAGCGACACAACTTTGTTGCAAACTGGTTTCGCGAGTGAAAGGGTTTCGCAACCAAACCGAACCTCTTCCGAACCTAGTTTTTTGGCGTTGACTTCCGTTGAGTAATTCAGGTCTTGGGCTTTAAGATCTTATCACTGTAAACAGTGCTTTACATTTCTTGTATTTATGCTATCTAGCCTGTGTTCCCCTACTAACGTCAAATATCTGCAAAGCCAGAATTTTTATCTGAATATAGCACGTAACATAACTCTACTCTTTTTTTTGGGAAAGCTACAGTAAAGGACACTAATCATCATAGCTATCCCGTAATGAATATTGGGACTCTGATAGATCAGCCTGACTAGAGACTTCCACGACACCATCTCCAGTTGCGGGCACTCCCCCAGATGTAGGTCCATCCTGACTCTCTCCACCCATTGGTTGACCGGAAACCATCATGCTAGCCGCATCATACTGCGTGTATGAGTGCGGCAATACATAACCAAACTCCTCCGCTGATGTATACACCATTCCCATGTGCTCTGCGCCAGTACTCCCCGCCATGGGGTGCATAGGACTACCAGTGGGATACATGGGGGTTCCCATGGGGTGCATAGGACTAGCCATGGGGTGCATAGGACTAGCCATGGGGTGCATTGGACTAGCCATGGGGTGCATTGGACTAGCCATGGGGTGCATAGGACTAGCCATGGGGTGCATAGGACTAGCCATGGGGTGCAAGGGACTGCCCATGCTCATTCTATGCATTGGGCTGCCTGTGATAGGTTGGGTGGTGTATGAAAGACCCGCTACAGACTGGGCGGGGCTGCTCATATAGGGTACGGGACTCTGCATTGTCGACCCTGACTGACCGCCGTAAACCGAACCGGACGTGTCCGAGCCTGTGCCGGTTGCTTCGGATTCAGAAACAGAGGCGGACTGGGGAAAGCTGAAGCTCCCTGTCGGCTGGTGTGCGCCTGAAGCCGTACCTACGTCTCCTCCTGCTGCCTCTGTTGCTGCTCCTGCTGCTTCTCCCTCTCCTCCTTCGCCTCCTCCTGCTCCTGCCCCCGCTGTTGCTGCTGTTGCGTGATACATCTGGGCTGGCATGTACCCAACGTTGACTTGAGCGATATTCTGAGCTGCACCTTGGGCGACAGCTTGGGCGGCAGCCTGGGCGGCAGCCTGGGCGGCAGCACGGGCGGCGTAAGCGGCAGTGGCAGCACCTGGAGCAATATCCTCAGCTGCCCCTTGGGCGGCAGCCTGGGCGGCAGCACGGGTGGCATAGGCAGCGGCATAGGCGGCAGTGGCAGCACCTGGAGAAAACTCGGTATAGAATGATGAGGATGTATTGGCCTCTGCCTCGGAACCCGTTACAGAGGATGTGGTAACTGATGCGGAGTGTGGAAACATGGGAACAGTGCCGGCTGTAGAAGGACCAGTATAAGCTGTTTGGACTGTACATGGTGCTGTACCCGATTGTGTTTCCGCGCCTGTGCTTGCACTCGTCGAGTCTCCATCTGCTACAGTAGAAACCCTGCTCAATTCCCCTTCAGAAGGCGTCACTGTTGTTTCACCCGTTTGAAGGCTGTACGCGGAAGGAGTGTATGCAGACGTGGTGTACCCGGAAGCGTAAGGAGATGGGGTGTACGCGGATGGAGTGTACGCTGCTGATTGGGTGTAGACTGAGGATTGGGGCCCGGGGGTATAAGCCGATGGAGTGTAGCCGGATTGGGTAGTGTAGCCAGATGGTGTATAAGCAGAATAAGGAGTGTACCCAGAGGAAGTGTACCCTGAATTCTCAGCGCCAGATGGCGTGTACGCGGTATAAGAGGTAGTCGTCGAGATTGGAGTTGGATCCGAATTGTAGTTCGACGACAATGGCGAAGCTCGCGAATCCGTGTGCGACTGCGAAGTGGTTTCGGAGTACTGCGACTGCGACTCAGTGTCCTCGCCAGTTGACTCGGTCAGGCTCGACCCCGTGCCGTGGCGACCGATGCTCGCGATGTGGTCTGGAACGCCCGCCGAAGCAAGCACCGCCGCAGGGTCGGACGGCTGTGCAAGGGGAAAATGCCGCGGCAAGGAGGTAAAGGGAGGTGGTAAATTGAGCTTCTAGAACAGTGATATGTGTCGCTAATCAAACAAGGGGGAAGGGTGGAAGGGCGAAAGAGGGAGCTAGAGGGAGAGATAAGAGACAGCGGCAGGTAGTCGGGAAAAACAGAGAGAATTTCCCATTTCTGTATGTGCCATTTTCATTCCCCATCACAGGTTTCTCGTGTAATTCGTGCGTGTATTCTGAACGTAATCGGTGAATGGACTCACGAAGTAGCTCGGAGGGCCGTACGACAGTCCGATTGGGTACGCCGCTGTTCCCCGCGCGCCCCCCTCTCCCGCGCCTCCGGCGCCGGGTCCAGCACCGCCGCCGCCGCCGCCGCTCCCGGGCGGCTGTTCAATGTAGAGCTCATCCTTGTGGATCCCCAGCATCTGCTTCTGCTTCTTCTCCCGTTCCTCCCTGAACCTTCTCGAGCCTGCTATTAGCGCGTACTCGCCCATGTCCATGACTTGTCTGCGTTTGTAGCCGCCCGGATAGTAGCATAGCTTAAACCACAAGAAAAGAAGGAGCGTAAAGAAAATGCTCGCCGTGGTTATGGCAATCCCGAGGGGTAGCTCTCCGGGCTTTATAAGCGGCTCGAGGATATCGGGAACGACATCTTGCGCCGACGCCATGCTTTCTCTGGAGTCTTATCTCAGTATTGCATACGATTCAGGCCGTCACTAAGGAGAGCAATCGTTTTTTAACATCAGAGGTACTTATCCTGTCAGAGAATGAATTATAAGGTGACTACTCCTAGTAAGGCTATTCGCATGACTGCTCTGTGGGTAAACGCTCCTCATAATAAAGACCGTACACGCATTATAAATTGCACGGCTTCGCTAGTCAGCGCACACTCAACTTCACGTTTGGAGAAAATGCGAGGAATAACATTGAGTTTTGCTGTTCTGTTCGTAAGTAGTCGAGACGAGAATCAAGCGAAGTGAGCAAGCAAGGAAAATTTCACCAAAACCTGTGGCTGGTGGTGGAGAGAGGTGACAGCAACACCAAAAAGAATTTCGCGGCTGTAGACATGGAAAAGGGTGGAGCGAGATTTCCGCCCGAGTTCTCGAAAACCAATATGGTAACAACAGTCGTATCGAACCCCAATTTCCCCGTGGCGAATATCGAGAAACTACAGCCACCACTGCTTTTCCCAAGCTGCAACTGGTGTTCCACGCACCCTCACGCCTCCTGTTGTTCCGCACCGCATGTGCGACGCGGGAGTGTTGGGGAGTATGGCGAGTCTCTCATTCGTTCGCACCAGGATGTTGCGAATTTGCTGGGTCCATTTGTGCTGGACGAAATTACACATTGAGTTCGCGTACATGTAACCATCCTCGGAATAAAATTCGTCCATCCGGTGTTACACTGTAAATGCTATAGGAAAAAAAACCAACTACCTCGGAAAATAGCAAAGTGACAATTAACCCTCTTAACAAGCTTTTAGGAACCAAGTATACCGTAACAAACGTTCTATTCCACTCCCAACATTCATAACCCTCTTAGATCTCTCTGAACTGAGCCATCGTAGGCAGGTGCCTCCCACACGCCTTGTTCTGGCATCGTTGCTTCCTCGACGAGCTCCTCTCGCCACACACACACTCCTTCACCCACGCCCCCCCAGCAATCTGATACGCCCTAAACCCATCCTTCTCCAATACCTCTCCAATCGGCTCCGCATTTTCTTCCTCCCCCGCACTCCCCGACTTTCCCGCCGCATTAGGCGTTGTGTCAGACCCACCAGACCCAGCACTCCCACTGGGATGAACAGTGCCGTCAGCATGAATGCTGTCCGCAGTACTGCCAACAGCAGCACCAGCAGCAATGGTACCGGGAGGAGCAGCAGCAGCAGCACTACTGGTAGCAAGACCTGACTCCAATTCCTTCTTCCCCTCATCATCCACACTCCCGACCCCTTCCTTCTCATTCTTCAAACTACCCACCACTGCTACAGCATCTGCAGCTGTCAAATCAGCACTCACCCTACCTTCAGCCTCGTTACTGTCAGCCCCCTTAGAATCACTCTCCTTACCATCTACCCCCAGACTTGCATTCTTCAACCCCTCTCCCTCACTCCTCTCCCATCTCCCTCTTACCACCCTCTTCTCGCCCCTATCCCCACTCCCACTCCCAACCCCACCCCCATCCCTCCCACTCCACAGCTCTGGCGTTTTCTTAACCCAAGCCGCCACCTCAGCACCCTTGGCCACCAACAGCCTCGGCCGATCCTCATCGCTCTGGAACGGCGACCCGAGCCTAGCCAGCTCCGGAACAACCGCACCTCTCAGATGCCTCTTCCTCGACCTTCCCACCCCAACCTCAATCTCCATTTCACGCGGTAACCGCTTTCCCGCCTCCACCGCCCCTGCGACCAGCTCCAGCCAATAGCGCAGCGCCACCTGTGCGCCGTGATAGGACAACCCTGACAGGTGGAGCGTCCAGTGCGGCCAATCGCGCGAGAACAGCCGTGCGATCTGACGCGTGCTGACCATGGCTTTAAGGACCGAGACCGAGAGCTCGCGTCGGTTGAAAAGGAAGAGCAGAGAGAGGAGGTTGTTGCAGAGGGGTTTCTGGTCCCTGCGATGCACGCCTGCTACGGTGCGGTCTAGCAAGGTGGTGAAGGGAGTGATAGGGTCTGCGGTTTGCTCTGTTGCTGGTGATTTTGCTGCTGATTGCGTGCCTTCTGCTGCTGCTGCTGCTGCTGCTGCTGCTGCTGCTGCTGCTGCTGCTGCTGCTGCTGCTGCTACTGCTGCTGCTACTGCTGCTCCCCTCCCCTCTTCCTCATCACCTACCTCATTCTCGAGTGCCTCCCCCAACCCCACCACCACCAGCTCATGGATCCGCGAGTCAACCACTTTCAAGCAGTCCAGTAGAAGCTTCCTCGCAGCTACCATCCCTTGCGTTGCCTGCACAGGAGCATCGGTCCTCACCCCCTCAGTGCTCATTTCTTTGTCAAAATCCTTTTCACGCCCCTCCAGAATCTTTTTAGGGGAGGTGAAACCCAGCAGGTCGAGGAAGACAATGGCAATGCGGGTGTCGGGTTCAATTCCTGCCGCCAGCATTTTCTTGAAGTAGTGTGCTGCGAGGTCGAAGCGGCCCCCCTTGCCGAATCCGTGGATGATTGCCGTGTATACAGCCACTCCTGTCCTTGCTTCGGCTGCTTCTGCTGCTGCTGCTTCTGCTTCTGCTGGTGGTGGTGCTGCTGCTGTGGCTGATGTGGTTGCTGCAGCTGCTGCTGCTGGTGATGGTGATGTTGGTGTGGTTGACGATAATTCTGAAGGGGATTCAGAAGTTACAGGGATCGTAGGAGCCTTGGTAGGCACCGCACTCAACCCACTCAGGTCCACGCCCAAACCAAGATACTCCTCTGAACCTGACCCCCTGATTCGGTCACCGATGCTGCTACGGCCGCCAAGGTAAATTCCGGCTGCTCTTGCATCTGCTAGTAACGCCTCCACCTCTGCTACAGCCGGATCCATGCCAGCCAGCCCTGCTACAGCCGACCCTGCTACAGCCGATGCCGCTACAGCCGACCCGGCATTGCCAGCCTCCCCCTTCTCCCCTCCCCGCCCGCCCTTCTCTGCAAACAGCCCTGCAAGCTGCCTCACGCTGTTCTCAGTGAGAACCACCCCATCCCTCTTCATGCTTGCATACGCCCTCCTTGCCTCCTCCACCAATCCACACTCCCGGCACGCCTGCAAAACCACGCTGTAAAACGTCGCGTCCGGCCGAAACGGCCCGTCTCTCGCGCCCCTCCCGCTCCCGGCCGCCGTCCCGTCCTCGTTATAACCCCGGCTCCCGTCCTCGTTATAAGCTCCCTCGCCAGCGAGATAAACCTCCCGCATCTCCTCGGCGAGAGCCAAGGCCTTCTCCACCTCGCCCTTCTCCGTGTAAAGCGCCATCATTATAGTCACAGCCTCTGTAGTAACAGGTACGTGTGCGTCCTGCTGCATGGTTCGAAAGACGATTTCGGCCTGCTGGTCGCGCCATGCCTTGGCGAGAACGTTTAGGGTTGCGTGGTACACTCCAGGAGTTACCAGCCGTGCGAAAGCTGGTGCTGGTGCTGCTGCTGATGGTGCTGATGGTGCTGCTGGTGCTGCTGATGGTGCTGGTACTGCTGCTCCTGGCGCTGCTGCTGCACCTGGTCCTGCTGCTATTTTCGCTCCTCCTTCAACTGCTGCATCCTCTGCTGTCTCTTTCACTGCTGCAGCCATCTCCCTCCCAGAAACAACCCCATCGCTTCCCACCCCAACCCCCTCCTCCTCCCCACCACTCTCTCCCCCACCCCTCTTCCACACACCAGCCCCTCTCACCCCCATCCCCTCATCCACCCTCTTCATCTCCTTCCACAAATCATACGCCTCCTGCGGTCCCCCAGCCTCTCCAAAAGCAGTAATGATGGTGGCGTAGGTGACAGCATCAGGGCGCCACCCTGTGGCTCTCATGCGCTCAAAGAGACGAACAGCGTCTCCCGGCCGGCCTGCGCGCCCCAGGGCGTGCATGACTGTGGCGTAGGAGACCTGGTCGGGCATGCACTCGCTCTCAGCCATCTGCTCGAGCCATTGCAGCACCAAATCATGCTGATCCGCCCTGTTGTTTGGGGTGCGGGGTGGGGAGGAAGGGGAAGAGGGGTTAAAGTGGAAAAGACCTGGTCGGGCATGCACTCGCTCTCAGCCATCTGCTCGAGCCACTGCAGCACCAAATCATGCTGATCCGCCCTGTGCGCATGGGGAGAAAAGGAGGGCAAGAGGGGAGTGAAACCACGGTGAGAAAGTGATGATAGTGGCATAGGTGACAGCATCAGGGCGCCACCCCGTGGCTCTCATGCGCTCAAAGAGACGAACAGCGTCCCCCGGCCGGCCTGCGCGCCCCAGGGCGTGCATTACGGTCGCATAGGAGACTTGATCCGGCATGCACTCACTTTCGGCCATCTGTTGCAGCCACTGCAGCACCAACTCGTGCTAGTCCGCTCTGTATGCATAACTCAAATGATAAACTACACTACCTCACACCATACAGTGTGGTGGAGCTAATAATAGAGGAGCAAGTGACGTTATCCAGCTCCACGCCCCTTTGAGTCATCTCCGTTATAAGCTCCTTCATTCGCCCCCGCTACCACCAAACTACACTACCTCATACCATACCGTGTAGCAGAGCTGATAATCGTAGAATAAGTGACGTTATCCAGCTCCACCCCCTTTTGAGTCATCTCCGTTAGAAGCTCCTTCATTCGCCCCCACTGCCGCCCCTTCCCCAGCGCCGCCAGCACCAGATTGTAAACGTACGTGCTTGGTCGAAACAAGTCCTGAAAGGAAATGGAGAAAGGGTGGAACGGAGGGGGACAGAGGGGTAACAAAAGGGATGATTGAGATGAGATGCAAGGAGCACTCCCCTCCCTTCCCCAGCGCCGCCAGCACCAGATTGTAAAAGTACGTGCTTGGGCGAAACAAATCTTGAGGAGGGAAAAGAAGGGAGAAGAGACGAAAAGGGGGGTGAGAGGATAACCGGATGGGTGGCAAGGAATACTGCCGCCCCTTCCCCAGCGCCGCCAGCACCAGATTATAGACGTACGTGCTAGGTCGAAACAAATACTGAACACGCAGGGGTGGAGAGCGCTGCAGGGGCCAAGGGACGAGGCGAAGAGGAAAGAGAGGGAAAAGGGGATGAAGATACAATCCCACGGGCAGCAAGGGAACACAGCCGCCCCTTCCCCATCGCCGCGAGCACCAGATTATAAACGTACGTGCTTGGGCGAAAAGACTCATGTAGGGAGGGCAGTGCGGAGGGGTGGGGAGGGGAGAAGGGGGAAAGGAGAGGGGTGACTAAGATGTGCAGCAAGGGAACACGGCCGCCCCTTCCCCAGCGCGCGAGCACCAGATTATAAACGTACGTGCTGGGGCGAAAAGACTCTTGGAAGCGCAGGAGCGGAGAGCGGAACAGGGACAAGGGACGAGGCAAAAATGGGGGTGGAGGAGGAGAGGGGGAAAGGAAGAGGGGAAGGAAGGGGAAGGGGGTTGAGGGTATAAGCAGATGAGGCGCATCAAGCACGGTCGCCCCTTCACGATAAAAAAGTGCCGTGTGCCATTGTAACGAGGTGACTTATGAGTCGACTCAAAAGGGGAAGGGGGTTGAGGGTATAAGCAGATGAGGTGCATTAAGCACTGTCGCCCCTTCACTAGCGCCGTCAGCAGCAGCAAATCACAGGCATATGTGCCGGGTCGAGGGGACACTTTTTGAGGTGCCTAAAAAATCACAGACATATGCGCCGGGTCGAAAGGGCACCTGAGGGGCGCACAGGAGCCTATTCGAAAATCCTCAGCACCTCAAAATCTTAATACTCCTTAACAGAATCGACACTCAAAATCTTAATACTCCTTAACAGAATCGACACTCAAAATCTTAATACTCCTTAACAGAATCGACACTCAAAATCTTAATACTCCTTAACAGAATCGACACTCAAAATCTTAATACTCCTTAACAGAATCGACACTCAAAATCTTAATACTCCTTAACAGAATCGACACTCAAAATCTTAAGGCCGCCCATCAGCAGCGGACCACCACCCAGAAGCTCTTGAGCCGCTGCTGAAGGTCTTGGACCACCACCTAGAGGTACACACAGAGGCTCTTGGGCCTGCGTGTGTACCTCTGGGTGCTAAAGGCTTGGACCACCACCCAGAGGTACACACAGAGGCTAAGAGGCGGCGGCGGCGTGTGTGATAAGTCGATTTTTGAGTCGACTGGAAAATCGACTTATCACACACGGCTGCTGAAGGTCTTAGACCAACACCCAGAGGTACACACAGAGGCTAAGAGGCGGCGGCGGCGCGTCTCTCGTCTCTGATCGATTCAGAAATCGGCGGAGCGTCTCGCAGTTGTTTTGAGACGTCCCGTCCCTCCACCTCAGCATCTCACACACACACACGTCTGCCTTACACCTGCTTGCACCGATCCACACCTGACTGCACCGACTTGCATCACGCTAAACCTCCTTGCACTGAGCCGTACCTGTTTCCTCGCCCAATCAAAGAACGCCACGGTCATGCGCCAGTCCGCCGATTCTCGCAGCACCGTCGACACGTCCCTCCCCGTCAGCGTCAGCCCCAGGCGCTCCAGCCGTTCCGCCACCCGCCCACTCCCCCCATCCTTTCCGCCACCTTTCCCCCCATCCCCTCCCCCATCCTTCCCGCCGTCCTTTCTCCACTGATCCACGACTAATCCGCGCCGATCCGCCCCGCTCTCCTGCGCCAGCACGTCCAGAACCTGCACCACGCGCGGCGGAAAGAACCCGCGCGCCCACGCATCTCCCCCTTCCGCGCCGTCGGAACCAGAAGCGGAAAACGGAGCACTTCGTATCGGGTCAGATCTCGGTGCGGCTGGAACAGCACGGTCCGTGGCGCGCGAGCGAGCAAACTGCGGGTTATTCAGTTCCCTCGGCGAGGCGCCTCGAGGATTCCCGTCAGCGCGTCTATAGACGTCCTTACGTTTGCTCCTCTCGGAAGAGCTAGAGGAGCGACTCCAGGAACGATCCGCAGTGGAACGATTCGCAGCGGAACGCGCATTTTCCCGCCTCGTGTCTCCTCCGCTAGCCCCACTGACTCGACCGCCGGTTCCGGCGCGACTCCAGGCGCGATTCTCCAGGCGCGATCTGCTAAACCCGTCCTGCCGTTGATTCCTATCAGATCTGCTAAACTCGTCAGACGATCCCTTAGAACTTCGCTCAACATTTCGCTCAGACTTTCGCTCGCTGTCTGGTGAACTCTCGACGCTCGCTCTCGCTCCGGCAGTCTCGTCCCCGTTAGAAGTCGCAGGTGTTGTCCCGTTAAGAGATATCAAATCAGAAACCGCTACTCCAGTCGAACCGGACTCCCCCGATTCAGTCACACTGGCCCGTGTAGTCACATTCCGTTCAGTAACGCGGGTTTTAAACACTCCAATTCTAGCAGGCTGCACGAGAGGACGCAATAAAGCGGTACGATTGAAAGCAAGCGAAGCCGTCGAATGTCGCCGGCTCGGGTTATCCAATGACGTGGTGTAACCTGGTAACAGAAGCACTCCTCGCGAAAGAACAAAGGCCCCAAAAGGAGCCATTTTGCGTTAATAACCCAAGCGCACTAAGCGATTCCACGGGAAATCGGGCGCGACGCAGGAAACAGCAACGCGTAGAACTCTACCGCAACGGTGTCGCTAGTCGCATCAGCAGAGCTGCGTCTACGAATATACGAATGAGCTGAGCGGCTGCTGAATAAGAGGTTTAGGAAGAGGACGACCGTAAGTGCAGAGGGAGAGTAGCCTAGTTCCAGATTTCACGAGGGATTTCGGCGGTAACTGCAGGTTAGGTTCCAGATTTCGCAACCGCGGTAACCGCAGGTTCGAGGAGGGAAAACCATTCGGTACATGGGAGTTACATAGTGTCATATATGATTGTTAACCTCACAAGTGCTGAACAATTGTATTGTACCTATCCCCAACTACTGGTACTCCTTTCAAACATCGGAATTAACAAGGCTCCTTTCAATAAGAGCTATGCACTGACCAACGGACCGACCATCCAGCATGGCAATTGCCAACTCTTCATGCAGGTCTTTGTGGCGCCGCATTATGGTTGACACGTTCAATACTGCCCACCGCACCACATCGTCTGACTTACTCTGCGTGAATCCCAATGACTTGTACAAAAAGTCCAACTGCAAACAAGAAGGCCAGTTCAGACAAGAAAGAAAGAAATGTGAACGGCGCACGAGACATACGCGCATATGAAAAGACTCGCACAAAGAGGTAGTAACATAGCCGAAGAAAATATATGGTAGCTAGTGGTTATAAACTTTACTGACACTTCAAGAAATCGCTACCTGTTGAATGTCAGAAATGCCGCCCTCTGCAACCCCGAATTGCAGGTACTCCGCACAAACTCCAGCCAGAGCCACACAGGAAACGGCATCCAGCATCTGCAGCATGCCCACAGGGAGAGAGGGAGGGACAACAGAAAGACGGAAATGATATGCAGCGACTAAGAAAATGGGCCCATCACACGGAGAAGACACACAGGAAGACATGAAGGCACTCCACCCAGAGCCACACACGAAACTGCATCGAGCAGCTGAAGCATGGCCGCAGGGTGATAAGGAGGGACAGAGGTGAACAAGTGGCAGGCATGCTGACTGAGAAGGCACCACTGGCTCAAAAACAGGAGATCTAACAGGAGATCTGAGTGGGACATGCTGAAACGCCTATCTACTTTGTATATAGAACAATCAGGGTAATTTTTTACGAGCTGATTTTGGAAACAGAAGTATTACTGCTTCTGAAAGCTGAGCTGCAATTAGGTCGTGCTTGCTGGATATATGATTAGATGTTAAAGCTGTCTGCTTCTGAAAGTCCAAATCCAGGACGGCTTTTAGGCTGGAGAAAATCGATTCTTACATCGGATTTGATTTGGCGTGTCCTTGTCTGCTTCTGGAAATCCAGATCCAAAAAGGTGGTGCCGGCTTGCACGTTGAGCGCCCCGTAGCGCTGATAGGCGTCCAGACTGGAGAGAGTGAAGCTGCGTGGGGGGATGCCCACCAGGTAGGATACGAGGAAATGGCCCGCCTCGTGCTGTGACGGGTGGGACGGGGAGAGATGGGAGCGAGGTGGGGAAAATAGAACAGATGGTAGGAGACGCAAAAATGCCCTGGCTTGTGCTGTGGGGACGGGGGCAGGGAGAGAGAGCGGAGAGGAAGGTGGTGCCTGCCTGCACGTTGAGCGCCCCGTAGCGCTGATAGGCGTCCAGACTGGAGAGAGTGAAGCTGCGAGGAGGAAATGGCCTACCTCGTGCTGTGACGGGTGGGAGAGGGGTGCAAGGAGGGACAGATCACATCGGAGAGAGTGAATTTGCATGGGGGGATACCCACCAGGTAGGAGATGAGGAAACGCCCTGCCTCATGCTGTGGGGTGGGAGAGGGGTGGGAGGTGGGATAGATAGAGAGAGAGCGAGAAGCCGCGATGAGGGATGCCCACCAGGTACGAGATGAGGAAATGTCCCGCTTCGTGCTGTGGTGGGAGGGGGGTGCGAGGTAGGATAAGAGAATGAAGGAGGTGGGAGGTGGGAAGGTGAGAGATTGAAGCCGGGGGGGGGGGAAGCCCACCAGGTAGGGGATAACGAAATGTCATGCCTCATGCTGTAATAAGGGAGGGGGTTCTGGGTGGGATATCGGAGGTGGGAGGTGGGAGGTGGGAAGGTGAGAGAGTCAAGCCGGGAGGGGGATGAACATCAGGTAGGATATAAGGAAATGCCATGCCTCATGCTGTGGGAAGGGGGGCGGGGTGAGAGGTGGATGCCTCATGCTGTGGGAAGGGAGGCGGGGTGAGAGGTGGGATAGGTGGGACGGTAGGATAGGTGGGACAGGACAGACAGTAGGACGGAGATGAGAAAATGGCCCGCCTCTTGTCGCCGGATGGGATGGCAGTGAGAGTGAGAAGGGAGACGAGAGGGGAGAGGCAGAAAAGACAGAAAAGGGTAGCATTTGCACGGGAAGAGGATGGGGCTGCTGTAGTATTGGAATGGGGTATGCTATGGACAAAACCAACATGTCATTACACAGCTGTATGATTGGAATGGGGCAAGGGGGAAGAGGAGTTGAGAAGGTGCAATTACCATTAGGCGTAACAGGGCATGCTATGGGCAAAATCAGCATTTCATTACACAGCTGTATGGGTGGAATGGGGCAAGGGGGAAGAGGGGTTGGAGAGGTGCAATTACCACTAGGCCTAACAGGGCCTGCTGAGCGCAAGACCATCACGTCATTACGGAGCTATACCGACAGGAACAAAATGTCGAGAGTGGGATTTGAACCCACGCCCTTTCGGACTGGAACCTTAATCCAGCGCCTTAGACCAACTCGGCCATCTCGACATACTACGAGAGAAAGCTTTCTTTATTTAGTCTAATAACTCATCTCTTATTCTTTACTGCATAATTTCACTTTCTTTTGTTAATATTTATAATCATACCTCTTGCATTAAAAAAAAAAACTTCTCCACTCCTCTCCCCTCCTCCATCTCCTCTTCACTCCTCCCAAGTCTGCAGCATCTATGCACCACCAAATGTTTCCACGAACCCACTCACCATCCATCACACATCACCATCACACTCACCAGAGCAACTCGTCTGCGATACGTGGGTTTCAGCAGATTCCCCAAGGTGTCCACTAACAGAGCCTCGCCACCTCCACCAGTTGAAATCTGATTGGACAGTTGAGTTCACAGTCTGGTTAGAATGACTTGTAACGGGTAAACCAACCAGTAGAGAGTGATACATAGTTTCCCAACGACCTGCAAAGCAATAGTAAAACCTGATGCAATAAGATGCTGTTAGTAGATTTAAACACTGTGGATAAGGAGAATTGCCTTCATGAGCTTATATCCATAATATCCAAATGGGACACTCCCCCAGAAAATTACAGTCAGCCACCCATAACCCACTGGCTAAAGTGGCATACCTGGTCTACAGTGCCGATGAACAGTAACCCTATGACCAGCCCCAGCAGTTGCCATTGGTCCAGGTGCTCGCCCCACCACGTGGCAACCAGCCCTGCGAGCAGCGCCAGCTGGCCTCCCTGCCTGACACCCGCGAGAGTGGTGTCTCTGGGCGCCAGCATGCGAGCAGGGTCTATGTAGTGTAGCTTTAGCTCCTCTATCGTGTAGGACCGGCGGGGAACCTGGTGATGGGAGGAAGGTGGGTGAATGGGGGCAGGTTAGAGAGGAAGGAGAAGGGTCTACGTAGTGCATGTTCTATGTAGTGCAGCTTCAGCTCCTCTCTCGACTACGACCTCCAAGGAACCTGGTCATAAGAGGGAGGAGGGGCGGGGAGGGGGAAAGGGGGATGGGGAGGAGCAGATGGTGTTGGCTGGGTGTCAGCGACTGGCTCTCGCCAGCTAGCATGCGAGCAGGGGCGCAGAAAAAAATGGGACGCCAGAGCGGTGTCTCTGGGCGCCAGCATGCGAGCAGGGTCTATATAGTGCAGCGTCGACTCCTCAAGGGAGTAGGATCGCCTGGGACCCTGGTCATGAGAAAAAATAAAGGGGAAAGGGAGGGGAGGGAGAAGGGGAAGCAGCCCATTTGTTAGTTAGCATTCAGCACCCTCTAGGCGCCAGCATGCGAGCAGGGTCTATGTAGTGCGGCTTCAGCTCCTCTATCGTGTATGTCCGTTGTGAGAAAGGAGGTGTGTGTCGAGGGTGGGAGAGGGCGGAAGAGAGGGTTATGTAAAGCATGGGAAGGGTGTAAAGAGGAGCAGGAGAGCGCATGGGAGGAACGCGGAGTGAGTGGCGTGGCTCCAGAGCGAGCGCAGGAGGATCTATACAGTGTAGAGAAGATCTTAGGCGAGAAGATACGATCTGACAGTTAGGACATAGCTTATATAGAATTAATCCCTGCGACGCGGGAATCATACGCGGGATACAGGAAACCTGTGGATATAGTCAGAATTAGAACCATCCCTCACCTGTCTAGCCGCACCGAAGGCTCTCAGAACCTTCCCGTCCGCATCTTGCGGGCCTGCACCGTCCACAGCCTCGTTCGACCCCCTAGGTTCATCGGATTCACTGAATTCACCCGTTCGTCCAGCGAGCCGCTTCACGAGCGCCAGCGCCTGCTCCTCCTTGCCTTCCGCCAGCAGCGCGTCGAGCTCCGCCGTTCCGCGGCTCAACCGCGCCTCCCACGTGTCACTCGTGGAACTTCCGTCCCGCGATTCAGAAACCGTCTGAGACCCTCTGCTTGCAGCTCGAGCAGAAACTGATAGTCGTTTGCGAGAATTGGGGCTTCGAAAAAGCGCTGAGATCAAGGGGAAACCACGTGTCCGTAACTGATGTTTGATACTATCAGAAGCGGTGCGTCTCCTCTGGAATGGAACGACAGGGATTCCAGACGATGGACGTGTGAGCCTGAGAGAGTTTCCACGGAGAAAGGCCGGCCTGGTCAGGCTAACCCGCAAACCCAGCGAATCCATTATCCTACGAGGTAAAAAACGATGTATTACTAGAACAAGGTAAGCCTTCACCTTTCAAAGAAGATCTAGTATCTAGGCTGGAGAGAACATTGGGATTCGACTTTGCTGAATGAGCTGAGTTCGAGAGTGGGCTTGCATGCGCTCCTCGTTTGGGAAAGATGCGATAGGGTAAAGGGCCAGTGAAACACTTTCGGATACAACCAATCGCACTAGCGCGTTCCCTGGGTAGAAATTCGCGCATGTGCGCTTCTAGAAGCAGTGCCTCGTGGTTGCTTGTGAAAATGCCACGCATGGCGCCAGGTCAGAAGCAAGCTTCATGAAATTCCTCGTTATTAGTTTCACACGTTCCCTCAAAATAGATATGATTTATGGAACTGTATGTTCATGTTACATTGGATATGTTCAGCCTTGGTGGTTTGGGCTACGGCTAGTGACTGCTCCAGCCTAATGGGGCTTGTTCCATTTTCGAACCAGAAACTCTTTATCCGCTCGTTGGCGCTGACACGTCACACCTCATCAGCACCACTTCAAAAACGGGAGGCAGGTCCCTCGGGCGTTTCCCGCCTCCGCTAGCGCCTTATAACTGGGGAGCATTCTCAGTTCTATCTGTCAACCATTCATACGTGATCGTGATGACAAGGACATTGTGGGCCACTCTATGGACAGTGCCTCGAAGACATGTGTGTTCCTACCCCCAGTAATCGAAGCTCGAACAATGTCATTGGCTGAAAAATATGAACCACTCAGTCTCACGTGGTGCCACGCAATTAGCCAACGAAAGACGTTTCGCATGCTATTCACCGCGTGTGGCTCTGAATGAAGGAGCTTTATGATTCGTCGTCACGCTAGTGGCTCATCTGCACTGAAAAGCCGTTCTGCTTGATCTAGCAGCTCCCGAAGTTATTCCAAGCCCCCCTGCCATTGGTGTAGGGCCTCGCGCAAGGTAGCGATGGGTGAGCGCTTTGCGCGGACCAGGACGACGAGGCGCGGACAGACAGGGAAAGGGGCCAGCGGACCTGGTCGAGACGCGCAGGGCGCAAAGCAAGCCCCCCTGCCCCTCCGATTCGCGCCACGCAAATGCGATGCAATGCATTTGTGTGGAGTTGTGAATGGGGAGCAGGGAATGTGCAAAACGGTTCATCCCGTCTCCAATGTTCCGCAACACCAGTGAGCTGTTGGCAGTGTGAATGTAGTATTTATCCGCTCACTGCCGCCATTCACTGCACACTCCTATTCACTGCTCACACTCCTTGTGGTCTTTAAAGTGCTGCCGGCCTCCCACCCCTGGCTGCCTTACACAGCGCTCTTGCTTCGGCGACTTGAGTCCCTCTTTCCCAGATTGTTGTGCGTCGAAGCAACAGCTGATCAGTGAAAGGCCGAGCTCTGAATTGATCGACATGGCTACCACGATAAACGACCTCCCTGAGAACTGCATCGCCACTATTCTTTCCTTCCTCACTCCAGCGACTGTTGGTCGCGTTGCGTCAGTCTCAAAGCTCTGGCTATCAGCTGCCAAGTCGAGCACCTGCTGGGACCAGCTCATCGCAAACGGCCTTCCATCATGCTTTCGCGAAACTCCCGCGGCCCTCGCGAAAGATGAGAGGGGCCTTCGTGAAGCTCTCGGCGAAGGCCTAATGCTCGACGACGGGCGTTACCACATCCAGGTTGACCCTGCGACGTCGCTCATCACCGTGAGCGTCAGCGTCGCGCAAGTCTTCGAAATTCTGTGGGAGGATCGCGACCAGGATCGCATGCGACGGCACGACATCACCGGTGCGATCTTCGACGACGAATCGCAAGGAATCGTCGTCCATTGGCTGAGCACCTGCGGGAAGATCGATCTCCCGTTTAAACTCCACAGCGGATACTACCGCATATCGTGGCGCGTCGCACAGGAAGAGGGCGGGCCGCGGAGGTCTACAAGCCCGAAACGCAGATTTATGCGGTCCCAGGAAGAGCCGTTGATCAGTCAAGTACGCGACGCGACGACTGGACACGTGGAGCAGCACGATCTTGACGGCATCCGCCAATGGATTTCAACCACGCCCACGTGGACTCGCATGCCCGCGGGGTTTCTTCGAGTTGGTGACGGAGGAGCTTCGGGCAGTGCGTCGTCGCAATTCGCGAACGTTCGCTTGATTTCGACACTGACGGATATTTCGCGACAACGGCGGAAGCGTGGTCTGTACCTGGACGCGTTCGTATTAGAGCAGATTTCTATGTAACCTCAATTTTTGAAGCAGCGACTCGGATTCGATTGGCTTCCACCTGAAGTGGCGTTGTACTGCCCAGAAACGCGCGAAAAGTGGCGCGGTGGGTCCTGCTTCGCACGGCATGGTTACCACTTCGTCGGTTCTGCGAATCGACCACCCGAGTGAGTTCAGCAGTGTGGATGTGCGCATGCCATAAATCTCTGAACGCGATAGGGATGAACAGCCTTTTTTCATAATCATCAGTGGGAATGGAGAGGCGTGAATGGGGGAATGTTGGCGAGGGGAGGAGGGGGGGTGGGGAATGGACACGGGGTTGCGGGAGAAGGGGCATCGAGAGGGAAAGCCGCGATAGCCAAAAGCACAGAGAGATTGTCGGATTTACCAGACTTCAGATCAGTAGGCCATATCATGAGGCGTGACCAGGCGAAAGTACTTCCGTTTGGGATTAGAGAAATGTCGATGTGCGAATCAGGGAGCGCGAAGTACGGAGGGAAGTAGCGAACGGGAAGCAGAGAGATGGTTCATGCTGCGGTGTGGCGATCGGCACAACTGAGTTGATACTCCAGCAGCGGACGAAGGGGCGTTGTCATGCCAGCGCAAGTTCTTTTAAGGCTTTCGCAATTAAGGTCCTGGGAGAAAAGACAACAAACGAGAGTCAATCTTGGGTTCAGGAGATGGTGATTTGGAATACCGTAAGTGAGGTGCTCCAGAGAACAATGGCGGAGGCCGTCGCTGCAGAGCGACGGATAGTCTCACGGAGTAACGACTTTCTGGAGTTCTTGGGGAGGAAGTTCTGTGTGTCGTCGGCAAAAGTCGATCCGTTATTTCGTGAAAGCAGCATGGTGGTGAATTGCTTCGCGAAACACTCACGACCCCGTGGTGTCGTGGAGTGGATGTCCGAACCGACGTCCATCCGTGGTGGGGGACTGTGGTGTGGAGTCCACTTCAATCCGAAGCAGAAATTGGAGGGGGTGGCTGATTTGCCGAGCCAGCAGGTACAGTCGGCCACCGTCAAGATCCGTCAGCAGCAGCAGACGTCAGTCATGCACTGCATTCGGAAAGTTCATCCTCGGTATTATCGCAGTGTGTGTTCTGTACAGTCTAACCCAGGTGGCGAAGTCACCTACCAAGCAGCTGACTTTAGTTGTTCAAATAGGGGTTTCGAAAGGGTTTACTGGTTTCTCTGTCTTTGACACACTTTTAATAATGTGCGCTGAATTTATCAACTATAGAGGTGCTCAAGCAAATGCAGTCATATCACAATCAGGGCCTACGATTCACTTTTAGGCACGTCAATGCATCAGGGTCCCTCCCTCTGTAGAATCCCTGATCGTCAGTGTCCCCCCAAAAAAAAGCCTGAAAATTCAGTGTTACCTTAAAAAAAAGTCTGATGCATCAGTGTTCCCTTTTTGTAAAGGCTGATATTGAACTTCAAATAAGATAACACTAACTAGCTAGCAAGCATCAGCAATAGAGGGTTCATTTACTCATCATCATCACTGCAGTTAGTCTCCGGTTCTTCCAACTCCTCCTCCTCATTTGCCTGCTTTCCCTTGCCATTGCCACTGCCCCCCCCCCTCTCTTGCTGGAGGTGCTGCTGCCACGTTCAGTGTCAGTTTCGTTACAACGTAGTGTAATCAGTGTCCCTTAAAAATACAAAAACCTGAAAGTTCAGAGTCATCTGGCCCCTAAAGGCTGAAAAATCAGTCCTCCAAAAAGCTGAACACTGGAAAATCAGGGTAGGTACAAAAAAATCCCTGAAAATCAGGAATTTCAGGGAAAAATTCCTGATATGCCCCTTGAACATGCACTTGAAATTGAGGAAAATAACAGACCTTGATGATTATTGCAGATACAAGTGGAGAGGCAACCTCACTTACAACTATGCACAACAGCCAATTGCTATTTGAAGAATACTGACACTACCTTTTCTCTTCTTGCAAGCATCAGTGCTTGCTTCATACTTAAGTAACCGCCCCTCCACTGATCTCTCTCTTTCCTAAGCTGCTGCAGTTGCTGTCTTTGCATGAGAACATGTCTTACAGCAACACAGGCAAGCAGAGCAGCAAGTGGCAAGCAGAGCACCCATACAGGCACCACCACCATTGCCTGACATGAACAAGTACTCCTGATCATCCTCCTGCTGCTGCTTTCCGAAATTGTTTTGTTGCACCTCTGACAGGCACTGCCAGCAGTAGCAACAGCAGCAGATAGAAACGGGGGAGCAGCCACAGCAGCAGTAGCAGTAGCAGCTGCAGCAGCAGGAGCAACAGCAGCAGCAGGCGGACAGGGAAGGGTAGGAAAAAAGGGAGGAGGAGATGGAGGAACTGCAGTGTGTGTTGCTCCTGTTGCAGTTTCAAACCCATCTGCACACTCAGTCAACTCAAACATCACACCTGCTCGCTCCTTATCCCAGCAGGGAACACTGCTTGTACTGAACCGTTCTGTAATACTGGTTTTTACAGCGATTTGCACCAAGTCCATCTCAAACCTCCTTCCACTCTCTCTACCGTCCTCTTTCCTCTCCACCACATGCCACTCGTTATCGTCACATCCCATTAGCTCACATTCCAGTCGGTCCCTAGCCTCCTCCCCACCTTCCACTGCCCACTCCTCCTCCGCGTCCCGCCCGCCACGTAACTCCCACTCCAATCTGCCTCCATTTCCCTCCTGATCAGGCATCTTGCCATCCGGCCTGGCTGTGACTGTGCCACATGCGCCAGCTGATTTCCACTCTGATCCGCCTCTGGCTGAACACACATCCGACCTCCAACATGTGGGACCCCGTTCCCAGGGACCATTAGAAGCAGTCACAGAGGCGGTATACTGATCATTAGTCCTAGGAACAGTCTCAGAAACAGTCAAATAATAGTCAGTTTCCAGGATAGAGCTTTGAGTGCTGTCATCTGTATTCCCAAGCACAAGCTCCCACTCTGTTGGCTCATGAGCGTCCGGGACATTCAGCAGTTCCGTTGGTGAAAGACAATGTGATACTAACGGGGGTGCTACAGGTGACTGGTTTAGAGTAGCACCCTTTGAATGGAAGGTAAAGACGGAGGCAGAGGCGGGGGGTCCCGGCGGAGGACAGGGAAGGGCGGGTGGGCAAGAGGAAGCGGAAGCGTTAGCCTGGGTTGGCGGAACGGGAGCCGCTGAGAGCGGACTTGCTCCTCGGGGAGCGGGTTCCGCGGACGACTCAACCCGCTTCGCGGCTGCAAAGCTCCCCTGATGCTCCGCCCGCGGAGTGGATTCCGCGGAGAGTTCGCGCTTGAGCGGGCGCGTGCGCCAGGAGGAGGGTAGCAGACTGCTTCTTTGCGCCGACTCTGTTATCGCCTCTGCACACGCGGAAGTTTCCCGCTTGAGCGGGCGCGTGCGCCAGGAGGAGGGCGACGGACTGCTGAGCCACGCTCTGTAGAGATCCTCGAGATCTGTATCCTCGTTAGAAGAGTCTCCAATATCGTCATCATCGTCAACTTCACCGACGTCATCGTATTCGTCTGAGGTACTGCTATCCCCGCTATAGTCATCAGCGTTGTCACACTCGTAAACGCACGTGTTGCAATTGGTGTATTCGAATTGCCGCCCGCTGCTGTTACGCGCGTCCACATGCGCAGATGCGTCACCGTTCACCAAAACATTGATCGAGTTGTTCCTACCTTCGAGGTGTTCCGCAAACTCGGCTGGCTGATACGCCATGACCAGTCGCTCGTGAACACGTCCGCACTCCTTGATTACATTAGGAGTGGACTGCAGTAACGGAAAGGACGCAAAGGGAGCAGTGGATTGCTGTATCATTTCGTTGTTGAGAGCTTCGAAACAAAGATTGTGAGATGTTTCACTTCAATACTCCAATATTCGAAATGAAAAAAAATCACAAGCATTACTACTCCCAGCGGCTTAGCAAGGTAGGCGTCCCACCTACTGCCAGCCATGAGCTTTACAGTGGGTGCAAACCCATCGGCCGTGCAGAGGGCACTCGCACACCACCGTAGATGGCTTGGGAAGGCGGGCGTCCCACCTTCTGCCAGCCATTGCTTGCAGGGGGTGCATCCCTGCCGTGCAGAGGACACACCACCACTGCCTCTGTAGGGAGCATGCGATCTCCTGCCATACAAGAGGCGCACGCACTTCCACCCTACAGTGAGCTGGACAAGTCTAGCCCAGTGCAGCTTGCCCAGCAAGAGGTAATACAAAGAAATATCAGGGTAATTACTCAATAAGGAAGCAAACTAGCAAACAAACGTCCCGGCACTAGTGCCAGAGGTAAACAACCAGAAGCCATCTCCAGCTCCTAGCAGCCACAGTAGCCGTAGAAGCTTCCCAAAGCTGTACACGGGAAAACTCCTCCCACATGCAACCTCCTCCCACGCCACGTGCATGCGCGGAGACTGCCTCTCCCCCTCTAGAGCCCCGTCTGGTGTTTCAGGTGGCGCGCCTCCTTCTCCCCCGCCGCGCCCATCTGCGCGCCCGCCACCTTCTCCTCCTTCCCCATCTCCGCGCTCGTCTTAGTTGCCGCCTCCTTCGCGTCCGCCGCCTCATGCGCGCTGTGGCTGAACGGGTGCTTCGCCTTGTCGACGCTCTCCTGGGTTTCCGCCTTGCCCTTGCCCAGCATCTCGCCGCCCTTGGCCTTGGCCTCGCTGGCCTTCTCCTTGGCCGTCGTGCCCAAATCGCCAAGCTTTTCCTTCATGGTCGACATGATGGTCGCGTGGGTTGCGGCGGAGAGGAGCAAATCAGAGGTTGGAAACTGAATCGTCGGAGATTCGAGAAAGTTGAGGAAGGTTGAGATCGGAAAGAAGACTCAACAGGTGCGAATGATTAGGCAATTCGGGATAGAGTGCGGTTATGTAGTGCGAGTAAACGTACGTAAGGACGTGTTCGACAGCAAGCTGATTTCGAGCCGCCACAACTATTCGGAGCCGCGATGCTCGCGACAAGCCGACTCAATGGGAATCCGTCAATTTCGAGTCGAGGCGTCGCGAGCAAGCACATCATGACTCGGAAGAGAGCAGCACCGCGTCAGATCGACGCGAATTTCCGTCGGCAAAACTTGTCATGCTGAGGCCAAGAAGCACCTAGCGAAGGGTTTCACGGCGGCGCCTGGAACCTGACGTACATGCCTCGTAGACATGGCAATTGCAGACTCGCTAAAACGCGACCGCTAAAATCGCCCGCATTCGCTGATGCTCAATTCACGACATACCATGCCGCACCCGTAGACGGTTCAAGAAAGGAAGGCGGCTCCAGTCACAGGGCACGGATAGTCTACTCTACGATAGAACACCCTGTGTTTACGCAATTTCCGCCATTCCAACTAATTCGCCCCTGTGCTCCAGCTGGCGTTGGGTTTTGAAGAAATGCGAATTTGCAAGAAACAGCTGGCGAAGATGGCATAGTGCTGCATTGTGGACGCGTGGGGTTGCTGCTAGGAGTCCATGTTGGAATGAGCACACTACAAGCTGCTCCGAACAGTGACGAACGCGTTGGCGAATAGGAGTGTAACGCTTGAACATCCCACCAAGCAACGGCCAACACAAATGAAATTCTAGAATCATCATCTGTAATACAACACCTCATTCAGCACCCACCACACTTCGTGTCCTCCACCTAATACATGCAGTAGTTGCTTGCAAGAATAACCCACTCTTTATCTTACTGTGTCCCCTGTCTCCCCATTCCCACCACTAACCTCCGTGATTGTAGCTGCTTTTACACCTTCCTCTATTTCACTAGCATCGTCTCTCCCATTACCGCTAGACTTGTGGTTCTCATCATCACTTCCCTCGCCGTCGTCCTCATGTGCGCCCAGTGTACCACCCATATCGAAATCAATGGTGTAGTCATACTCGATAGTAGGCACCAGCGATGAGATGAACTTAAGGAATATGAAAAGGTACCTGCAAACAGCATAACACAAATGCTCAGGACCAATGAAGCTTCAACACTGAATTGCCACAAATGAACTGGCGAAGCGCATGCTAAAATGGGGATTATGATAACACGAGGGTGGATGCAGAAGGAAGTGACTTTTGAGTCGACTCAAAAGTCACCTCGTTACGATGGCGCATGCTAGAATGAAGACGAGGGTGGATGCATAAGGAAACAGACGAATGAAAGGAGTGAGGGGCACATACTGGTCGACACGTGGCTGCACGCCATTGGCTGCCATGATTCCAATGATCTTCTTCATCACCGCTGCATGCTTGCATGGGTGCACCGATGCGTACTTTCCTGGAAGGTGCGGATGGTCGTCAATGGTAACCTGCATGCAGCGAAACAGGCATGCGTCACATCACATCAAATTCATATTGCACCATGCATCAACAGATAGCATGCAGCGGGGTCACATGTCCTGATTGCGTGGATAGGCCATGCTCCTTAATGAATTTAAGAAACTACAGAAAAGGGATGTTGGTCTGGCCATCACACACACGCACTGCCCAACCTCACTCCCTTCTCACCAAGCTCACCGTTACCATCAACCCATTATAGTCACACTCACCGTCTTCTTGACATGGTCTTGGCTCACATCCTCAAACACTCGCTCTGCTGCCAGGGGTTGCCGTTGCTGCAGTGATGGGAACAATGGGAATGGCAGGAGAAAGAAGGGGGAAGGGGGCAGGATAGGCAAGGAAAGGGGAAACGTGAGAAGGGAACAGGGCTCACATCATCACATCCTCGCTATAACCGCACGAAATTAATGGTTGAGTTAAGACATTTCAGAAAAAAATACTTTCACCAAGCCATCAAAGCTCAGCTTACCTCATCATAACCAAAGAGCCAGATTCTTGGAGTCTGGTAGTACTTGTCGTATCTGGGTGGGGTTTCAAGCACACATGGAACGGGAGGGAGCAAGAGGAGGATATGATGAAACAAAGCCACTCTTGAAAATGTGTGCGGTGCAAAGTGCGGGAGTGAAAGGGAATGAATGAGCACACACGTATGGTGAGATCGTAGGTGCATGTGTGCAGAATGCATGCAGAGAAATTTTACAAAATCAGTAAGTGTGTGGGCACATGTGATTGTGTAGCGACAGTGAAAGACTATGCGTTAGTGAGCCTTGTTTTGAGTCGACTCAAAACGTGGGGCAACAGTGAAAGAGAATGCGTTAGTGAGCGCACGTGATTGTGAGGTCGTAAGTGCGAGTCTGCAGAATGTGGTCGTCCTCTGGCTCTGTTGCCACCAGGTACCCCCCTCCCCCCAGCTGTAGCGCCGCCTGTAGCACACCAGTTGATGTGTCGATAATCGGTGGACGGGAGGGGGGGATTGGTGGAGAGAACATGGGTCAGCACGAGTCTGCAGATTAAAATAATCCTCTGGCTCTGATGCCATCAAATACCCCCTCCCCCCCAGCTGTAGCACCGCCTGTAGCGGAGGCATGAAAGACCATTGGTATGAACAAGGTTAACAAGGTGATGGTACTCCTTATGAGGCTCTGAGAGGAGAGGAGTGGGGTGATGCAAAGAATCAAGCTAGAACCAGCGCGGGACGCATAGAGAAGCACGCACACATCCATGGCCACTCACAGGGTCCGCATCGAGCACATTATCCACATCATCGAATTCCGCTATATCGGGTACATCGTCCTCCTCCTCTTCATCTCCCGCCGCTGCTCCTCCAGCCCTTCTCTCCCCTGCTCCCGCTCCCCCACCCTCCCCTGCTCCTCCTGCTGCTGGGGGTGCTGCTGCCTCGATGGAGGGAAGGGACTCCTGCTGTGCCAAACCTGCACCTGCTGCTGCTGAGGCTGAATGGAGGAATGGGAGAGGCGAGCAGAAGTGACGTGAGGAGAGAGCCAGGCAGTCAAGACAGTCAAGGCAGTCAAGACAGTCAAGGCAGTCAAGACAGTCAAGGCAGTCAATGCAGTCAAGGCAGTCAATGCAGTCAAGGCAGTCAATGCAGTCAATGTATCATGCCAATCACGGCAGTCAAGCCAGTCAGTCGAGCAGTGCATTCAATGCAGTCATGCCAACCACAATAGTCAAGCGAGTCAAAGAAGTCAATGTATTATTGCCAGTCAAGACAGTGAAGGCAGTCAAGCTCGTCAGTCGAGTCAAGGCTATCGTGCAAGTCAAGCTTACAAGCACCGCCGAGCTTCGACGTGGCAACCCAGGGCTCGTGGTCCTCCCCATCCACGTCAGCGTCAACCAATGTCTCGCTGCCACCTGTCGCCAGCAGCACCTCCTCCTCCATCGCCCCCACTCGCCTCAGACAGGGGACTGTAAAGTCGCGAAGTTGAAAGGAGAGATGAGGGAAAGAGCAAAGGGCAGAGGGGAGATGGGGAGGGAGGGAGGGATGTGTGGTGAGAGCATCTCCTGAACACATCGGCACACTTGCTATGGTGTGGTCAGGGCACTGCGTGTAAGGCGGAGTGCCCCACCATAGCAAGTGATCAGAGGCACCCGATCATTTTTGGAGCCCAAAAGTTGGGGATCATAGAAGTCAATGTCAAGTGATATTATACTGCTTGGCAGGTGACAGGAAACAGCTAAGAGAGTAACATTTCAGGGATGTAAGTCGGTGCTGTCACACCGAGTGATGAGTAAGAGCCTACCATTGCGAGTGATGAGGTACTGCTTGTCGGCAGGCAGGAAGCTTCGTCGTCGAGAGGGGTCGGCTCCTTCCCTGACAGATATTGATTGAGAGCGGGAAAACACCAGAGGAAATTTCAGTGATTCATAAAATCAGCAAATCAGCGAATCGGGGAGCCAGCGAATCGGCAACCTCAATCGCCACGTCAGATAAGCTCAAGTGGGATTCTTAGCCTCCAGATTGTCGCCTGCGAATCAGATGACAAGGCATCTCGCCAGGACCACATGGGACATTTGGCCACCAAGTGCCTTTCTCCGCAAAGCTGTGGGACTGCGGAAGTTTCCACGAAATGAAAGACTTAGACACGTGTCATGTCAGTGCATCTCAATAGGACCACGTGGGACATTTGGCCACCATATTATCTCCAGCAGCCACGAATTCGTCCGGCGTGAGGATGCCTTTCTCCGCGAAGGGGTGGAACTGCGAACGCATTCACGAAATGAAGGACTTAGACACGTGTCATGTCACACTGTCTCACCAGGACCACGTGGGACACTTGGCCACCAGATTATCCCCAGCGGCGACGAATTCGTCCGGCGTGAGGACGCCTTTCTCCGCGAAGGCCGTGGCGCTGCGCGCCGATAGCAGCATCTCCGCAGTGCTCTTATACGCCTCGTGGATGCGGTGCCGCAGCCCCGTGACGTCCATCGTTGCGAGGTGCGGAAACGAGGAACGTGTCGTGTATTCTGCGTTGACTAAAAGAAGAGAAACGCCTAGTAGAATCTATGCCTATGACGAAGAACTCTACAGCGAGGATAGCAGCTGCTCCGCCGTGCTCTAGTACGCCTCGTGGATGCGGTGCCGGAGCCCCGTGACGTCCATTGCAGCAGCCCGCTGCGGTGCGAAGTTTTTTAAGCTGCAAGCCTCAGAATACGGGGACAAGAAAGGCGTCGCGTAACTGCAAGTCGAGTAATAGCAATAAAAACGCCTCGTGGGCTCTATATTTAAGACGAGGGACTCTATAGCGAGGATAGCAGCAGATTCGCGGTGTTGTCGAACGCCTCGTGGATACGGTGCTCGAGACACGGAGCGCCGATCATGGCGATAATATATCTGTACGATTGCTGCGGCTACTTAATATCCCATCAAGAACATCGTAACGCAAGCAGGCGACGAAGCGATGCTTCACTTTGGTTAGGAGGTGGGCTCTAGATTTACTATATAAGATGATTGTTCCGAGAAAAGAGCTTGATCAACCAACAAGACAAGGCTACGGAAACTTGCACTGGCGAAAGTCTCTAGACTTGGAACAGCGACACGAGAAATACTCGCTGTTGACAGGAGTAGCTATGGCTGGGAGGAAGCAACTAGATTCTAGAACCAGCTTGTAATGGTCGTGAGGAAAGCAGGAAGCGTTGAGGCGAGGAGGTAATCCCAAGGTGCCTAGGAGATGAAGCTCGGGCTTTTCGGGTAACCCTAAAAGCTCTGTTCATTTCGAGTAACGGTTCGGTTGCGGGGAAAGCGAAGCGAACACGCTACCCTCGCACGGCATTTCGCTCGCGCGGGTCTGTGTTTGCGAAGCCTTCGCGACGACCCCCCGCCATCGTTCAAGCTGCAGACCCAAGTTCGACACCCTGCTGGCCCAAATTCTAGGGCGACGTCAGGTTGTACTTTGTACGCCCACTACGGTTAACTTCGTTTCAACACGGTGCAAAGCAGTAAACGTCAAGAACCGCTTTCCACCATTTTGGACCGTCTTGAACCACGATACAAGAACTGTAAACCCACGAGAAATGTATAACCTGACGTCGCCCTTATACATTGCCAGATGGGACACAGATAGGCATTTCCCCATAAATTGAGAAATTGTTAGCGCCGGAGACATGGGTAATTTCGAAGTAAATAAAATAATGCCTCTCGCAGACACGTCATCAACGCCTGGGGATTCGCTTGTCGTATACGCGCGCTCTTCGGTGCACTTTTGTACACCTGTTACACGCATTGGCTGCTCGCTATAAGCAGCGCGGTTTTTGTTCCCGTGAGGCGAAGAGCTATAGTTGCGCGATGGCGGCGAAGGGGGAGGGTTTGAACGTTGCACGTGCGGTTACGGAGGGGGGAGCGGAAGGGCGGGCGGAAGGGGGGGCGGAAGGGGGGGCGGAAGGGGGGCCGAAAGGGGAGCGCGTTAATGAGGCGGGTGCCCAGCGGGAGGGGAATGGCGGAGGCGGAGCGCCGGGGGGAGGGGGGAGTAGTGGGGATGCGCGCAGCGGAGAAGGAGGAGAGGTAGTGGAGGAAATTGAGCGGCGGCGGGTTGAGGGTTTGGGGGGTGAGGGGAAGAAGGAAGAGGAGGTATTGGCGGAGGAGAGAAGGCGGATTTTGTTCCGCAAAGGGGGAAAGGCGGAAGCATTTGCGCGGACAGGGGGAGGAGCTGGGGAGGATACGGGGAACGGAAAAGGAGGGGATCAGGTGGGGGAGGGCAGATCAGGGGAAGCGGGAAGATTAAGCGGAGGTGGGGGTAATGCTGTGGGGGCAGCGCTACTGGGGGTATTGGAGGGGGGAAAAGGCAAGGGGAAGGGGGGAAACGGGAGAGGGGAGGGGGATGTGGAGGAGGAAGAAGAGGAGGAAGGGATGGGGAGGCAGCAGCTGGAGGAACTGTACCGGCACCTGAGACAGCCCAGGGTGGTTCTCAGGTGAAAACAACAGAGTCGGATGCAACTTTTGAAAATCCATGTCGATGGGCAGGGCATCACTCTTGAGTGCATGGGCGTTCATCTTCATCTTACCCCAACCGTTTTTGCTTCCATTCGTCCCTTGTTCTGTGCATATCCACGTGGCATGTGACACGTCGCATGTGGCATGTATTTTTGCATGTATGCGTGCAGAAAAGAAGCATCCATCGCGCAGGGGATAGCAAACGGGTGCTTTGAGGCAGGGCAGAGCAGGGAGCATCACCACTCTGAGGCGAGGCAGAACATCTCCAGCCCGGAGCATGAGGATGCTGACAGGGAGCATCACCACCACCCCGCCACCCACAACCCCTCTCTCTGCGCGACAGCCACCCCCTCAGTGTGTGTGGCAGAGGTGCTGTTGCAGCGCGGCAAGTGGTGGGGCAGCACGGGCATTGTCCGGCAGCAACGGCTCTTCTTGCATGCTGAAGAGGCACTGTAAGACACTTCATAGGCTTGTAGGCTTGCAGCGCGGCAAGTGGTGGGGCAGCACGGGGGTGGTCTGGCAGCAACGACTCTTCTTGCACATTGAAGAGGCACTGTAAGGCTTTAATTCCTGATTAGCGCTGTGAGTTGAAAGATCATCTTCCCCTTGAGGTATAGGTGGTGCTGTTGCAGCGCGGCAAGTGGTGGGGCAGCACGGGGGTTGTCCGGCAGCAGCTGCTCTTCTTGCACATTGAAGAGGCACTGTAAGTCAATGTAAAGTATGTCAGCTCCAAGGTATGAGGCCGGAAGTGGCGGGGCAAGTGGCGGGGCAAGTGGCGGGGCAAGTGGCGGGGCAAGTGGCGGGGCAAGTGGCGGGGCAAGTGGCGGGGCAGCACGGGGATTGTCCGGCAGCAGCTGCTCTTCTGCCACATTGAAGAGGCACTGTAAGGTTTTCACTCCTGATTAGCGCCGTGAGTTGAAAGACGATCATGTGGCATGTGGGGCGGCACGGGGATTGTCCGGCACCAACGGCTCTTCTGCCACATTGGGGAAGCACTGTAAGGCGCCTCCCTAACGGCTATTTATTCATAAAACGCATGACAGCTCTAAGCTATAAGAGGGGCGAGTGGTGGAGGGAGTTTTTGAGGTGACTTTTGAGTCGACTCAAAAGTCAGCTCTAAGCTATAAGAGGGGCAAGTGGTGGAGGGAGTTTTTGAAACCAGCTGATTTCAATTGAAACGCATGACAGCTCTAAGCTATAAGAGGGGCAAGTGGTGGGGCAGCAGGGGGATTGTGAGGCATTATCGTTCCTTTTGCCACATAGAGGAAGCACTGCAAGGCGCTTTAACTAAGCACTTCCTTGTGAGGTGCTTTCTCATAGTAAGGGTTGTCATTTAAAGGATTCTCCGCCACCTCTCTCCTGCGTCTTGCCGCTTGCAATCCCATCTAGAGCCTGTATCACGCCCTGCGCCCCCTATCCTCCGCTAAATTGGTGTTACTTTTGAGAATTCTCAGAAGTAATCTAGAGCCCTTCACCCCCCTATCCTCCGCTGCTCACCTCTCTCTCCCCCTCCCTTCCTTTTCCCCCCTTGCACCCACTTTCCACCACCCCACCCCACCCCCATCCCCATTTCCCAAACAACCCCCCTTCACCTCAGGTTTCTTATGGAAAAGGGCTCTCTGCTTCTCCTCTCCCCATCCGGCTGCCCCGTCCCCATCCAAACCCTCTACCACGCCCTTCACTCCCCTCTCCTCTTCTCCTCAACTCCTCCTCTCCTTGCCCCATCTCCCCCATACTTACAGGTTCCTGATGGAGAAAGGCTCTCGGCTTCTCCTCTCCCCATCCGGCTGCCCCGTCCCCATCCAAACCCTCTACCACGCCCTTCACTCCCCTCTCCTCTTCTCCTCAACTCCTCCTCTCCTTGCCCCATCTCCCCCATACTTACAGGTTCCTGATGGAGAAAGGCTCTCTGCTTCTCCTCTCCCCATCCGGCTGCCCCGTCCCCATCCAAACCCTCTACCACGGTCTGCACTCCCCTGCCCTCGGCTGTTCCCTCAACGCCTACCTAGCCTACGCACACCTGCGCAGGCTCGGGTTCATTCTGGCTCGGCACGGCGTCCCCTGGACCCGAACCGGGCCAGCAGGCTCGGCAGCCAGAGAAAAACCAATGGAGGGTTCAGATTTGTGTGGGAGAGGGGATGAGGAAAAGGACACGGAACGGTGCGGAGGAGTGAAACAGGAGGAGCAGAGAAATACGTGTAGAGCTGAGGCTGCTAAACCAGTTGAAGGAGCGGAAATTCAAGATGAAGGATTAAAGCCCATGTTCGATGTCTACTACCCCAATGCACGGTTCAAAAAGTCCCTGCCAGGCCCTCCGGACTTCCTGCTCTCTGTTGTCGACTCAGGGTGAGCTCTTGAGACCTTCGAAACAACTTCACTTTCACGTGACGTCTCAAAATGAAAGTCCCTGCCAGGCCCTCCGGACTTCCTGCTCTCTGTTGTCGACTCAGGGTGAGCTCTTGAGACCTTTGAAACAACTTCACTTTCACGTGACGTCTCAAAATGAAAGTCCCTGCCAGGCCCTCCGGACTTCCTGCTCTCTGTTGTCGACTTCAGGTGAGCTCTTTCCCTCTCGCACGGTGGGCTTTCTCCCCCTCAAGGTGAGCATTCCAGAGGAGGGGCTAAAGCCCATGTTCGGGATGTCTACTACCCCAATGCAAGGTTCAGAAAGTCCCTGCCTGGCCCTCCGGACTTCCTGCTCTCTGTTGTCGACTCGAGGTGAGCACTCTCCCGTTCCCTCTCTCCCTCTTTCTCCCCCTCCTCCTCCCCTCTTCCCCCCCTGTCCACCTCTTCCCCCCCTGTCCACCTCTTCCCTTCTCCACATCAGCACTCGTATGCCATATATCTGCCATAGATGCAAATTTCGGATTGATCTCACTCCTCTCCCCAGGTGCATGTGTGATGTTTCCACTTTTCCTCTCTACTCCTTAGCTTCCCATACCCACACATCATTATCTCACCAACACCAAATCTTTGAAGGTTATGGTCACCCTCAGCAG